ACTTATTAACCAATTAGAATTGTACTTCTCATCCACTTATAAGCCCCTTGAGTGCCCCAATATGGTTCCAAGTACAGTTAGAAGAAGAGTTATCATTGATTAATAAGTACCATAAACCTCCAAGTAACCATGATGGGGCCCAGGCCGCACTGCCTTGAAATAGCAGCAGAAGTCTCTAGGACAAGCTTTATGTATTCACAGCTCCGGCGTGCTTTGGCCACAGGCACCCATGCTGGCCAACCTGCTGCAGCAGGACATGTTCCCTCAGGCCCGGAGGGCTGGGCATCGGCAGGAGGTTCGGAAGGTCTGCTTCTGTCCAGCAACAGGCTGTCCAAGTCTCAATCAGTGCTGAGCTGTTAGAAAGTGCGGCATCTTTCTTTGGCGGTTCCGGCGTGGTTGGTTGCGGTTATCTTTTCTTCAAGACGCTGTGCGTCTCAATGGTTGTTGAAGGTCGTACACAACCCTAAACCCAAAGTCATGGAGTCGAAATCCGACAGGAGGGTAGAGCCCTGTGACAAAGAGCAGTCACCGGAATCGCCCATACAGCCCTCGCAAATGATTTGCAGAAGTGGCCTGCTCCTCATTGCAGACTCCTACCGGAGTTGCACGCAGGCAGCAGGGTAGAGCATGTTAGGCCCTTGCTAGTCTTTCAGACGCATGTCGAGCGAGGCGCGCCGGCAGCAGCTCAGCTCGATCCGCTATGGCAGCAAGAGTGCCAGTAAGGCGCCGAATGCGGAGGACCGGTTTTGGACTTTGCATTGACATGTGCATCCTTGGCGCCCCTCACGGTTTGGGGCGATTCTCTCGAGATTGTCGGGTGTCGGAGCATCGTTTCAGGATCTTGCGGCAGAAGGCCATCTGTACTTATATTTGTACGTACAAGTGCACGAAAAACCAGATGAGGGTCCAAGAACAAGCGTGGGACAACTGCAGGACAATTTCCTGCATCAGCACCCCCTCTGCCCCATCAGCGAGTCCAGCATGATGGCAGCTGCGCCCTCGGGCGCGTACTTGGAGGTTCATGGTACTTATTAGCCAATTATTACTGTACTTCGAACCCACTCATAAGGCCCTTCAGTGCTCTAAAATGTTATAAGTACAGTTTTCGGTACAGTTATAATTGGTTAATAAGTACCATGAACCTCCAAGTAGTGAACCGGATTCTTGAAATGGGTGCACAAGCGCAGCTGAGCACCTATGTATGTCACACCAGGTGTGTATAGCTTGTAGTATTTAACATGTAATTCGTATACAAAATACATAAATAAATACTTCAATACTTTGCATGAAATATTTCTAAGAAAATACAATATGAATTGAGACATGCAGTGAGCTTCTGGTTCAGGAGCATTTGTGTGCTGGATTCTCCTTGGGTCCCTGTCTGACTTGGGATGGTTTCCCATCTGCACGAGCAACAAGACATATTCCCCGTTTAGGGTTTAGGGTTTGGGGTTTGGGGTTTAGGGTTTAGGGTTTAGGGTTTAGGGTTTAGGGTTTAGGGTGCATCATCACCTTTGCCTGTGAGCCAGGTGTGAGTTTTAGGGGGCCGCAGATGCAGGCGCCATGAGCATGAACCCATGCGCCGCCGAACGATGACAAGCATCTACCCTAAACCCTAAACCCTAAACCCTAAACCCTAAACCCTAAACCCTAAACCCTAAACCCTAAACCCTAAACCCAAAACCCTAAACCCTAAACCCTAAACCCTAGACCCTAGACCCTAAATCCTAAACCCTAAACCCGAAACCCTAAACCCTAAACCCTAACCCCTAAACCCTAAACCCTAAACCCATTTCTGTGCACTTGTAAGGTGGGGCTTCTTAAGAGTAGTCGCCGTCATTTCGCGAGAGGCATTCTCGCAATAGATTGGCCTCATGTTTGGTGGGATGGCTTCTGATCTGCAGAACCATGTGGGCACATGCGCAAAATGACAATCTCAACATGCTGAAGAGTGTCATTTTTTCACCCCTTGCGTTCCAGGTAGGAATCCTGCAGAACGAGGGGGGACACACAGCAAACGACATGTTTCTATTCGTCACGCTAAGGCCTTGAGCGCGGACAGGCACAAAATCGAGAACCGCATCTCCATGATGGAGTGGCTGCCTTGAGTAGGAGGTGTTACGAAACCACCAAACCTTTTGACGATTTAAGTAACTTCTTTACCTTTAACCCAGGATTCCAACGAGCTTGCTTCGAAGTTCAATTACGTTTCAAGTTTTTGAGGCTGTGGACGCTTGCACAGAAGGAGGTGTTGTAAATGCTTCACACCCTGCACCCTAAACCCTAAACCCTAAATCAGTGTCCTGGAATGAAACCTGAAGCACCTGAGGGGAGCATCTGCGGCACAGTCACAGCTCCCGGAAGATGGACGTGCAGGCACCAGGGTGGCCCAGGGTGCTGTGCAAAATGCATAGATCCCTTTTTCCCCAGGGTTTAGGGTTTAGGGTTTAGGGTTTAGGGGTTGGGGTTTAGGGGCTAGAGAGCATTTGTGGTGACCTGTGAAAAGCTGCCCGATTCCCTGAACGCCTGATTTTCTGAAGGCCTGTTGGGGTTTTCGGGCGTCCGGGTCGATGAATTTCTTAGTGTGCGGGAGGGAGCTCAACATCGGACATGGCATTAAAGTGAATGCGCAGACCTTTCAAACTCCAACTCTCGGAATGGTTTCGACATCAAAGTGCTTCTGCAGCTGGAGAATGTGTGAATATATGGCCTACGCACATTACAAGTGCAATGTGCGAGGTAGCAGCAATGATGAGAGATCGTTTCTTGCTTTTTGTGAGCCGAGAGGTTTAAGCGATCAGTGTGCGTGTGTCGTGCGTGTGTGTTCCTGAAGTTCTATATTGAAAGAACGCTTTGCTTCGCGGATTCTTCGCATAGTCATCTAACATCCTGAAAGCTACAATTTAAGGAAATCGTCCCTATATACCCAAGGAGCCCCCAAATAAGCCCTAAATAACACTTAGGTCCCTGATAAGGTTTTCAGGATATAGTCACCATATACCTAAGTAGCCCCCCAAATAACTCCTAAATGACCCCTAAGGTCCCTTATAAGGGTCCCTCCTTGGGATGTTCCCCCTATATAGGAACAGTCCTTAATAGGGATTATACCCTAAACCCTAAACCCTAAACCCCAAACCCTGCACCCTAAACCCTAAACCCTATACCCCCTATTATGATCCCCATTAAGGACTGCCAGTATAAGGGGACCATCCCAAGTCCCTCCTTTGGCCCCTTCTTGGAGGTTCATGGTACCTATTAGCCAATTGTAACTGTACTTATGACTGTACTTATAACTGTACTTATAACTGTACTTATAACCATATTTGGGCACTTAAGGGGCTTATAAGTGGGTTATTAATACAGTTCTACTTGGCACATAAGTACCATGAACCTCCAAGTTGAGTAGTTGGGCACAGGACTGAGGATGGACCCGTCAACGCCTTTGGCTCAGTCCGCCTTGCCGAGTCCTCGCCGCTGCTAGCCGAGATGGGTACCCTGAACCCTAGACGCTAGACCGTAAACCCTAAACCCTAAACCCTAAACCCTAAACCCTAAACCCTAAACCCTAAACCCTAAATCCTAAACCCTAAACCCTGAACCCTAAACACCCTGAAGCAGAAACCCCAAACCCCAAGCAGCTGTTGTTTGCGCTCGTAGTTGGGTGGCTCCTGCCCCGCCGAGGGGAGTTGGGCTGTCAATGTCGTTGATGCCGGATCAGGCCAGAACCGGGAGCCTGGGGGATTGAACTTCCTAACGACCAAGACCCGAAACACCTTAACCCTAAACCCTCAGCCCTTTTCTGACTTGCTTTTGGTTGTGCAATGCTGGTGCCTTTGCTTTTGCTGAGAAAATATACATCGAAGTCAGCCCCTTGTGGTGGACATACCAAGCCACACATCTGAGCGAATGCCATGTCAGAGTCGCTTCCACCAAAGGAGTTGTCCCCAGAAGCAGTCGGCCCCAGATACAGAAGCAGCCATGTTTGCTCCCCATCTCCAAGTCGCAAGTGCTTAGCAAGCCCTAAGCAGGTATGCGCCCAGCCGATGATGGGGATGGCCTGCAACACCTTAGCACCAAGCTATGCAG